TCCTAAGGTGTTCGTCAGGGGAGGGATCTGTGTCCCAGAAAGCTCTGTACATGGATTCCCTCTCTAGATGACAGAGGAAGGAGAAAGTCATCAATCTCTATTTGTCACTAATGTGAAAGACCAACTGATTGCTTATATGGGTGACGCAATTTGGCAAAGAGATCAAGAGTTACACACTGATCAAAATCTCATAAATCACATCACGTGGTCACAGTATGAAGGGGAGCCCACTACTCAAAAAAACCCACAGTGAGTCCTCCGCAAGGCACAGAATTCTGTTGGTATATTTGGATCTTGGTGTGTCCGATATATTTAATACACAGCAGAACAGGATAAGAAAAACAGTGCTTTTTATTCCTCCCCCTTGCCTCCCCCAATTCTTTTATTATCTTCATCTTCATAACATTTGAATGTTCTATGTTTAACATTCTCTCTGCAGGACTTGGAGCTCATTGAGGGAAACCACCTCGGTAAAAAATGGGAGTTATAAAGTGCTTGGGGTCCTAGTAAGACAGAGCGTCAAATAAATCCAAGCTCTTGCTGCTTCACCTCACAGGGGAAACTTAAACAAGAAAGAGGTTCAGATGCTACAATAACCTGCTGATGTCTAGTGCCACCCGCGCTGAGCAGGACTCTGTACCACCCTGAGCGAGCCTTTCAAATCCCCAGGCCTCAGTTTCCTCATCTGTCTGATGGACTTTGTCTGGGTCCTTAGGAAATTATTTGGGAGTAAAAGAATCAAAAAAGAGCAATAGACCATAAAAGCAATAATGATTCCATCTTTCACTTCCTTTGCCAGATAGAACACAATATATTTAATGTGACTGCTGTGATAATGGGATAATCCCAAATGTCTCCAGGGGTGTAAAGCTGCAGTACGACAAAGCAGAAAGAGAAGCTTTGGAGACAGGTTCGAATTGCAGTCTCTGTGTGACCTTAGGTGAGTTATTTAAACTCCCCAAGCCTCTGTTTCTTCATCTATAACACCTGGTCATTAATTCTGATGTGAAGATTGCCTGAAATATGTGAAACACCTAGCACAGTGCCTGGCAGAGAGTGGTAATTATTAGGGGGATTATTATTATTTAGCACTGTGTCCTCAGTGTTGGCACATAGCACTCAATAAATACTTGTTGAGTGGATTAATAAATGAATAGTTGAATCCCTGTTTTTACCATTATAGCCAAAACTTGCCTTAGAACCCAATCAGGATCTCCAGCCCGTTCCTCTTTTCCCTTTTAAGTAAGACAGATAGATGGACATTTTCTCTTTCTCTTCCTTCTCCTTTTTCTTCTACTTATTCCAATAAGTCTACCTCTTTGAGCACAGGGAAGACCAGAAGAAACTTTAGAACAATGATGCTGAACGTGCTCTTGGGAAACCACATCTTGCAAGGGCCGTGGACTCATCCACCCACCCATTCACTGAGTTTGTGTGATATGCTTGCATACATCAAGTGTCGGGACCTGTGTTACGTGGTCGATCTCCCTTGGAATTCAGAATCTGGTGGGGAAATGCCATAACACTCAGAGCACAACCCAGTAAGTGTGCTGGAACAGGGGAATGGGAGAATGGTTGGAAAAAGATGATCTGACTGCCACCAGCCCCGCCCCCTACTTGCTGTGCGACCTTGGCCAAATCACCACCCCCTCTGGGCCTCCCTCCTCATCTGCGAAATGAGCAGGTTGGAAAATGGAATCCATAGAACCCTTTACGGTTCTAAGATATAATGATGATCCCTTTAAGTCATGGAGGGCTGAAGAGATGGTGAAGGTGGTCTTCTCGGGGCATATATTAACTGGCAGCTCTCACAGTCATCACTCAGAGGACCCAGAGGGACAGAAGCAAAATCAAAAGACATTTTCAGAGAAAGATGACTGAAACAGGTTGACATATGTGTGAGAGTTTGGGGAATTTATGCGGGCAGCCTCGCCATCATAAATAAAATCCCTTTCCCTCACCAAAAGCCTCATTCGCTGAGAAAACACCGGACACTGTAATAGACAATTTGGCTGTATCTCCCGCCCCGTGCCTCACTTGAATGAAAAACAGCAGTCCCACGGCAGGGTAGTGGGCTCGCCACCTCTTTACAAACATCCACGTTGTCACCAGCTCACAAGGGGGGGGGGGCGGTTGGAGCAGGCGGGGCAATTTATCTCCGAGATTCCCGGTCCCTCCGTGCAGCCTCACTCTCACAGCCATCTACTCTGAGGCTGGAGGTTTGGGAGGAACCCCAGAAGAATCAAATGTGGGGAGAAGTGACCCGTAGGAAGTGGGGGAAGGAGCAGCAGCCCCTCCCTTTCCTGCGAGCCTCTGGAGGACTTGGGGGGCCCGTCGCCGTCAACGCTGGTCCAGCCCATCTGTGTGGAAGGCTGCCTGCCACTCAGCACAGCTACTTGTGTTTTCCTGACCTATTTCTCCTCCCATCCCTGCCCTACTCCACATCCCCTCTGGAGTCCGTGTAATTAGCACCTTTCCATCCATAAAGCTCCTGGCTCCCAGGATAACCAAGGAGACAGCAAAACAAGCCGTGGCATTGCTGTTTTGGCTTTTCTTTACTTTCCTCTCTCTTTGTGTCCCCAGCTCACAAGGGGGGGGGGGCGGTTGGAGCAGGCGGGGCAATTTATCTCCGAGATTCCCGGTCCCTCCGTGCAGCCTCACTCTCACAGCCATCTACTCTGAGGCTGGAGGTTTGGGAGGAACCCCAGAAGAATCAAATGTGGGGAGAAGTGACCCGTAGGAAGTGGGGGAAGGAGCAGCAGCCCCTCCCTTTCCTGCGAGCCTCTGGAGGACTTGGGGGGCCCGTCGCCATCAACGCTGGTCCAGCCCATCTGTGTGGAAGGCTGCCTGCCACTCAGCACAGCTACTTGTGTTTTCCTGACCTATTTCTCCTCCCATCCCTGCCCTACTCCACATCCCCTCTGGAGTCCGTGTAATTAGCACCTTTCCATCCATAAAGCTCCTGGCTCCCAGGATAACCAAGGAGACAGCAAAACAAGCCGTGGCATTGCTGTTTTGGCTTTTCTTTACTTTCCTCTCTCTTTGTTGGCTTCACTCTGCTTCCTGGCCTCTGTAGATTAGGCCCAGTCTGACCTTGCCAGCCAGCAGGGACCCTGGCTGGAAATCAGCTGGACGTGTCCTGGCATGAACCAGAACGAGTGCCAGCAGAGAGGACAGAACTGGACGAGCATTGTTCCAAGTGTGGGGATGGGAGCTTGAGGGTCCCTTTGAAGCCCTCCACTGTTGCACAGCAGGCCAGACAGGGATCTGTCAGCTCCACTTTCTGCTTCTCTCCCGGGGAGCAAGTGTCAGGAGAGCCGAGGCCGCGAGGAGCTGCCAATTCCGGCTCAATCCCTTTCCGTTTCCCATTAGCCACAAATGGAAATTGATGGGTTGCCGCTTTAGCCACTCGTTTAGAGGAGAAAACCTCACAGCAAATGCTGAATAACTGGAGGCATCTTATAAATTAAGCATCTTAAGGATATGAACCGTTCTACATTGCTGCTAAGCAGAATTAAATTAGGTTTTGAAGTTTCAGTAGAAGTGAATGGGGAAGAGGGAGGGAAGATTTTGTTTTTAATTCCTTTTTTCAAGTATGCAGAGTGGTGACCGAAGGCAGGATGAGGGGAAGAACTGAGTCACTGGTCTTTGTTTCTGATTCCAATCAGCTGCCACTGCATATGCACAGAGAGACGTGCCCATGTACCCACGACGGAACACGGAGTAACTCGGGGACCTGCAGCTCAGCCTCTGGCCCATGATGCCTGGCCTTGCCAGGGCCTCCTGACCACCCACACCACCATCATGCCCATCTCTGGGACCTTAGAACCAGTCCTAATTGCAAGTAGAGGAATTCGGGAGCTTTAGGCCAAGTCCCTGGGATCCTGCATCATGATCTTCATTCTAAATCATCCTCTAACCCTTTCAGGTTCAAGTTTAGGATCATGCCTCACTCACAGGATCCACTTTCCCCCCTTCCCACCCCAGTCTGGGCAGAGGGGCTTCACGTGGGCCCCTGTCTGGATAACTTGCCTGGTGTTTGGGTCCCTCTAGGGCTGTTGCCTGGCCTTGCCCGGGGTTCCTGCCATTGGACTGATCTTCTTGTGACCAACACACCTGCCCGGATTTCTCACTGCTGTGCCCCACCTGTCTGTCCACAATGACTCCCTTCCCTATACACATGTACACACCCCAATCCCTGACACCCCACGTCTATCCCAGGCCATCAGATGACCACACAGTGTCTGCTGGACTGGACTGTGTCTCCTTGTCTCTACAGCTGGGGCCATGTCCCCAGGACCCGGATCAGCAGGCAGTGGCCCAGCCTGCAGTTAAGGAGCTTTGCTCAGTCTTGGAGGTGTTGGGGGGCAGAGGAGGCAGTTGATTTCTTAGGCACTCCTGGACCCCGGAAAGAGCCAAGTCTTCCGCCAGGCACAGGGACGCTGATGGGGCCAGTGGCGGCAGTGCCTGCCCACACCCAGAACGGGCACCCCCATGACAGCAATGACAAGGGAGGGAGCTGAAGTGCCCTGTCCTTCCTCTCCAGAACCGGGGTAGGGTGAGCAGACACCAAGGCAAAGGCCCTGCCAAGCAGCTGGGTCAGGGGCACCAAGAACACCTCATCTGAACACACCCTCCAGGAAGCCTTCTTGGATTGATCAGAGGAGAGAAGAGATGATCTCTGCTCTGCTCTCTAGCCCCTGGATTTGGAAGCCCCATGGCCATCCCCACCCTCCTTCACCTACAGCTGTGACCAGCTGAGTCCATCACAGACTGCAAAAGGCACTCAACATCTTTCTTCTCATCACAAGAGGAGCTGGGCAGCTTGAGCAGATTGTAGCTGTCAGTCTGTCGGCTGCCCCACCACCACCACCCTTGTCCCAGCCAAACTCAGGGAGGGCAGAGTGCAGGGTCAGATGTCCCCTGCGGACACCTGGGGTGTGGAAGGGGCATCACCCAGGGCTGGGCTGCCCCCAGGGTGCCGTAGGGGCAGCACTTACCAATCCTCAGGGAGTGCGGACTGCAGGCAACCATCACGAGCCACGTGGGAAGCAGCACCAAAGGCGCCGAGACGCGGGGCATCTTCTATAAATCCTCATGGAGCCCTCTGCTGGTCTGGGCATGACATAACTCTGCGAGAGAGCGAGGGAGCATGTGAGTAAGAGTCCTATCGGCCCAGGGGCCCGAGCTACCACCCAGACAGCCTCTGTGGACAGGACCAACGCTCCCTCCACGAATCGCTGTGCCTGTAGGGGAGCTTCAGGCCGGCTCCAGGCCTCTGTCCTTCCTGCCTCTGCCCAGACTCACAGAAGCCTCAGGTTCTAAAGCCATCCCCCACCCTGACCGCCATCAAATCAGGGGCAGGAGGGTGTGACTGTGGTTGAATGATTCATAGGGCTCCACTTTTGAAAAAAATGTCTAATTGGGGATGAAAACTTTCATCTGCTCTTAAGAACAGGAGCCATGGGTGAGCAGAAAAGGAGTGGGTGGGAAGGTTAGGCCATCGTCCCGGGCACATCACATGCCCTGCTCTCTGGGGAGTGATGTTGGGGAAGTGATGGGTTCCAGTCCAGCTCCTCCACTTGCCAGCTGGGTGGCTTTTCTCGGTCACTCAACTCCATTTCCCCTCAGGTAGACCTGGCGTAACAACACGTGCCTGGATGGGTTGAACTGAGGCCGAGGAGAACACAGGAGAGGCCTGGCCTAGAGCAGGGGCTACACAAATGTCAGTTCCTCCCTGGCCCAGATGGGAGAGGTCGCTTCTCAGCAAATACTGAGGGCAGAAGCACACATCCCAGGTCATCAGCTGGTTTCCGCATCTGCTGAAAACTAACCCCTCTCCATCCTTCCTCCACCAGCCCCTCTCCCTCCTGAGGCTGGGGTCAAAGCCAGAACCTTGAAGGAGCTGCCTCCCTGCAAGGCAACATGGGTATTGTCCCTCCCTGAGACCTCCTGGCACCCTGAGATCAGAGTCTGCAGGCCACCAGCCCTGCCCCATCACTGGGGTGAGGGAGGGGCTGGTAAATAGGCAAATATGCTAAACCAAGGTCACCTTTGGTTAGGAGACTAGTATTAAAGTGATTCATCCCCCCACCTCCAGACAGACAATCCAATAGAAAAATAGGCAAATGACTAGAACAGACACTTCGGTAATGGTATATCCAAAGCTCTTGGAGCACACTTGGAAAGGTATTCAGGAACATGCAATTTTTAACTGCAATGAGATATCATTATACACCCACCAGAATGACTTTAAAGAAAAAAAGATACTATCCAGTGTTAGCAAAGATGTGGAGCAACTGGAACTCTTCTACTGTGTCAGTGGGAATGTAAGTCAACATAACTGTTGTGGAAAACTGGTCTATTAGAGCTTTACACATACCCTAATGTCCAGCAACTCTACAACAGGCATTTCCAGTAGAAATGCATGTACACACTCACCAAAGACCTACTAGAACGTTCACAGCAGCGCTCTTTGGGTTTCCCCAAACTGGAAACTAGCCAGATGTCCAGCAGCAGAATGGAGAGAGACATTGTCCATTCATACAATGGAATCTTATATGGAAATGAAAATGAACAATCAACAACTCCAAGCACCTGTGTGGATGAATCTCACAAACATAATGTTGAGTGGAAAAGAACAGGCACAAAAGAGTATTTACAGTATGATTCTATCTATAAAAAGTACAAATGCAGACAAAACCATTGTGTGCTGTAAGAAGTCCAGCTAGTGATGACCCTTGCAGGCGGGTGGTGACTAGAAGGGGACACAGGGGGTCTTCTAGAGGTGCTGATGCCATCCTGTTTCTTATTCCAGGTGCTGAGCAAAGTGTGCTCAGTTTGTGAAATCTCGTCGAGCTGTACATATCTGATGATAATGTTCACTTTTCCGTATGTGTGTTACACTTAGTAAAGGTTTTGTTTTATGACAATCCCCCCACCCCACAGAAGCTCGGTGTTGCAGCCTGACCCAGTACCTCGCAGCTTCCTGCACACAACTAGTCCCCTCTGCCTGCAGCGTGCTCCTCTCCCCCCAACCCTTGCCATGTGCCAGGATCGGGTGCCTCTCTATGCCATCCCAGCAGCCTCTAGTGCTGGGCTCAGTGCCAGCTTCTCAAGGGCCAGGACTGTTTCCAGTTTACTGCTGTATCCCCAGAGGTTACTTATACAGAATAGGTACACAGGAGATATTTGTTCAATGGATGGAGGGCCTCAAGCCACTGCCTGCTATAAGGAGACAGAGGAGAATAAAGGATAAAGGATTGGACTGCTGCAAACCTGAAACTAACAGAACATTGTAAATCAACTACACTCCAATAAAAATTTTTTTTAAAAAAAGGATAAAGGATTGGAGCAAAGGCAACCCTGCTGTTAGCAAATCAGGCCCAGAATCTTTGTCCCTTGATCCATGGGTGTCGATGCAGGAAGAGATGAAAGCAAACACAGTCTCAAGGGAAGCTTGGCATTCTTACTCGTTATGGGTAAAGTCGACTGTTCAGTGACTGTCTCCCCACTAGAATTCAAGCTCGATGGATGTGGGACAGGAACAGAAATCCTGTTTGTCTGTCTTCTCAGGGCCCAGAACGGTGCCTGGCATATATTACAGCCTCAATAACTATTTGTTGAGTGGCAAAATGAATGGACTGTCAAAGAGGAGAGAACTGTAAAAATCTGGCTAGGCTATACAAAAGTAATACTAAATATAATCATTTCTGTCAAATGCCTTCCATTTATGCCCAGTCAGCCCGCCGCACAATAATTATTATGCAGACCGCTAAAGAGGTTTCAGATTAGCCTGCGTAAATTTTATTTGATGACAGAACTACACTTAATCCATGCAGGCCTGACAGTCATTGTTCATGGCCCTGAAGGCTGGCTGATCCTGGAGACCACATGTAAGGACAATGGCTGAGGTTCTGGGCTGCTCTTGGATACAAAGATGAGAAATAATCTCCCCCCAAACCTTATAGGGATAAAAGGAACGATCATGTTTGTAAGGCTCAAGGGTTTGCAAAATTCTTTCCATAGACTTTATCTTATTTAATCCACAGAACAAGCTCTTTTTTTTTTTTTTGCGGTGCGCGGGCCTCTCACTGCTGTGGCCTCTCCCGTTGCGGAGCACAGGCTCCGGACACGCAGGCTCAGCGGCCATGGCTCACGGGCCCAGCCGCTCCGCGGCATGTGGGATCTTCCCGGACCGGGGCACGAACCCGCGTCTCCTGCATCGGCAGGCGGACTCTCAACCACTGCGCCACCAGGGAAGCCCAGAACAAGCTCTTTTATTGACAAGGAAGCTGAGCTCAAGAAAGGTGCCTGGCTCAAGGTCAACACGGCCCTTACGAGGCAAAGCCAGGGCTAGCCAGGTCTCTGACTTCGCCGGGTATTCTTCTGTCACTTACCTATCTGCATATGAGAGCAGATCATGAAGCTTCCAGATTCTTTAACAAAATACACAAAGAAATTTGAGGTCTTATTTTCAGTTTAATGTTTAGACGAATCTGGTCTTAGAACCTAACTGTGCAGCCTTTATTAACTGAAAATAATTTAGGAATAAAAAGAGAAGTTTTCTAGAGGTAGAGCACCTAGACCCTCTTCCCACTAACATCACCCCTGGGGAATTTCACCTCCACCCACGAGTTATTTCCACCTGCATGGTGTGGCTTCTAAATCAGCATCTCAAGCCCAGCATCAAGCCCAGAACACCTGCACTGAGACGGCTTCCTCCTGAAATCTCCAGCTGGATTCCCCACAGCACTTCAGACACGCCTCGTCCTAAGGAGGAGGTCTCCTCTCCCCGGCTCCCGCCATCTGCTTCTCCTTCTACGTCCTCCTTCTTAGTGGGTGGCACCACGATCCACTAGTCACCCAAGCCAGAAAGCTGAGAGGCACCCTAGAGCTCTCCTCTCCACATCCACTCAGTCAGCAAGTCCCAAGAGCCCTGCCTCCATCACCACCGACCCGCCGCAGTCCAGACGTCCGCCAGCAGCAACCAAGACTCTGCAACAGCAGCCATCTTGGTCTCCCTCCCTCTGGCCTTTCCCTCTCTGTTGGTTCTCTGCTGAGTGGTCAAGGGTTCTTACCCAAATGTGAACTTGATAATGACATACCCTCACCCCAAAGTCTTCCATAGCTCTCCACTGCACTGGGGATCAAAAGCAAATTCTTAACTCCAACAGATAAACCCTTCACGATCTGGCTCCTGCCTTCCTGTCTCTACCACCCACCCCACTGCACCGGACCTTCCGCAGAGCTCCCTCAGCACCCACCCTTTGCCTGTGCCCGGACTGCAGTCTCACCTCCTAACGGCCCGGAAACTGTGTCTTCCAGGCTCACCGCATTACCTCCCCTCTGAGGCTTTTTGTGATGCCTTTACCATGTGCTGCCACCACATCTGGAACATTCATCATTAGGGCACACACCCTGCTTATGACGATGCTGCCTGTCTCCCCATAGAACTTTCAGCTGTGATGCAGGGGCCGTGGCAAGCACCAACACACTATCCGGCACACAGTAGGTGCTCTACTAATATTGGCTGAATGAAATCAGTGAACAGATGGTGTCAAAAGGGCATTTTCTGAGTTTACACCAAGATGAAGTAAATTCCCAGTCTGGGTTGTACATTTTGTATATTCACTGTGGTTAATACAAACAATCTAAGCAGACAGAATGTTCTAGATCCAGGCAAAGGGTCATCACATCAATATATGTTGAAAAGGGGAGGGAAGCATTCACTGCCCTTTTCTTCTGTGCCTGGGGCTTGGACTGACCGTCACACTTAAGGACATGGGTTTGAGTCCTGCACTGCCATGTAGTAGAGAGAGGGCATAACTCACACCATGGGCAAGTGAGTTAACTTCTCTAAACCTTGATTTCCTCATTTGTAACATGGGAGTGATAAAAGTACCCTCGCAGAATCATTATGAGGAATGAGGATAAAATGTGTATCCCACGCTGCTCGAAGTAATTAACTGTTCACGACTATTATTCTAACCCTATACGATAATACTGCACGCCCACTTCACAGATGTGGAGGGTGAGGCTCAGGGAGGCTCGGTCATTTATCCAAGGTCATGCAACTAAAG